GACTCAGAGCAGGACCGTTCAAGCCAACTGCACCATTGTAAATGCCTTTTCCTGCACCCTGAGGCTGGTTCTGTTTAGAGCAGCTTAGTACAAAGGTGTGGATCTTGTCCTGTGGTTTATCCCACTGATCATGGTCTGCTCCAGTTGGAGACATGGGTATACAATGTTCACCATCTGTTTAAGGAGCCTGGATGTCAAGGTAGACATTGTACAGGATGTCACATATTCAGAACATGCATCGTAAGCATCCTAGTGAAGGCATTATTCAGAAAGCACAATGACTTGCTTGACCGTCAGAGACATGGCCCAGCCCCCATCACACCTGCTCTGGAAAGGCACACAGGTCAGAGCCCCTGTGGTCAGCTCTCCCACACACCTCGGACGCTGGACTGATCTCACCACCATCAGCCAGGGTGCTGTGCTCCCACTGAACCACAGCTGGGTAGAGGTCAGGGTCCCTGGACCATCCAGGTTTCCTCTGCACCCAACCCACTTCTTCCACAGAGCACCGTATTCCAGAGACCCCAAAAGACACATATGTGTCCCCTCTCTAACCCGGGCGGTGCTCTGTGATGCCTGGGGTCTCAGATCAGTCCGTTACCCTTCGCTTGTAATAAGAGAACCACCTGCCCAGATTGCTGTTGGAGCTGCAGTGGTTCACAGGACCGGCACGCAGGCTGTACCAGGAAACTCAGGGAAAGGGCCTAGGCGTCAGATTTGTAACTAGACGCACTGCTTTTCTCATCACGTGACAAATATCTGACAGAAGCAACTTAAGGAAGGGAAAGTTTACTTCTGCTCAGAGTTTACGGTACCGTCCGTCGGAGGCACTGGAGCCAGGACCAACGATAGCACCCAGTCCATAAAAATGGGGCCGCCCACATTTGGGGGGGGGGGTGTCTTCCCATCTCAGTGAGCTCAATTCAGAAAGCCTCTCACACACGTGCCTAAAGGTCTCCTGGGCAGTTCTAGATCCCGTCAAGTTGACAATCGATAATTGCCATCAAACTAGCTTTGCCAGTCTCCATATTTCCATCGTGGTAGACAGCAGCTGGGGAAAGGAAATCACTGAATGGGAAACTGGGCGGTAGGGGAGGGAATTACTGAATGGGAGCTGGGGGAAAGGCCTAACGTCTGGCATGCAGGCAATGGAACCGTGCAGCCAGCTACCTGGGGAGTGATGGGTCCTGAACATCAACTTGATTATATAACAGAATTTATCACACGTCTGTAGTATTTGTTTGATAACGACTTGAAAAATCCCTGACATTTTTTGCAGCTGGTCTGTAACATGTTACTGGATGTTGACCCTAGGCCGCTATAGACCAGGCCAGATGTGTGCGTGTGGCAGAGGCCTTGACCGTGTGGGTGGCATAAAGGACGATGCGGAGAGCAGGCAGCTGCTGACAGCCAGGCTCCCGAAAGAGAAGACCTCTTCAGAGGACAGAACTCAGTGCCCCTTCCTGGTAGCGCCATGCAGTGTGCGGCACCTGCCACACCTAGGATGGCTAAAGTTTGCCTGTCTCCGGCAGCCAGGGCTTGTGAGTCAGTCTACCGGGGCTTTGGTGGAGTTAGCCGATTTTCAGGCCACACCACTAACACCCTGGATGGCCTACCTTCCCCTCCCCTCCCTTTCCCAGGCTGGCCCTCTTGAAGCCAGTCAATTTTTTTTTTCAGACTGGGTCTTAGGTAACCTAGGCTAGCCTCAAACTTACTACGTAGCCGAGGATAACCTTGACCTTTCATCTTCCTGCCTCTACCTCCCGTGTGAAGGAGTACATGTGTAGGCCACCACACATGGTCTGTGTGGTACTGGGGATCAAACCCAGAGTTTGGAGCACGTTAGACAAGCACTGTCAACTGAGACAGTGTCCCAATCTTTAAACAAATGTTTGGGGTTTTGTTTTGTTTTGTTTTGTTTTTTGTTTTTTTTGAGACAGGGTTTCTCTGTAGTTCTGGAGCCTGTCCTGGAACTAGCTCTTATAGATGAGGCTGGTCTTGAACTCATAGAGATCTGCCTGCCTCTGCTTCCCAAGTGCTGGGATTAAAGGCGTGCGCCACCACTGCCTGGCCGCAGTCCCAGTCACGTGTCTTTCTGTGGGAAGTCCCAGTACTCACGTCTCTGATATGAAGGAACTGGTAGTTTAGCTGTGTGCTCCTCCCTCTGTAGTACGATTGGTTTCATGGCTACGGCTGGATGAGCCCGGCCACAGTCTGGAGTTCGTTAACGCATGATGACTGACAAGTAATGGAATATAATACTAAAATAATCCTGGTCTCCCCATACTCCAAAGGTTAAGGGTCCAAGTCAGCAGTCTGTACAGTCTAGGAACACTCAGTGCCGTATGGGGTGCTCACTGGGCACGGGGGTAGTAGGCAGACTTGCTCACTCACTGAACCACACAGGAAAAGGCTCCCCCCCTCCAGGGCCAGGATAGTGGGAGTTGTCGACTCTGGATCTCACCCCTAACCTAACCCACTGACCCTAGCAGCGTGTGCGGTTTTCAGCTGGAAATGGCCACTGTTAGAGCAGACCAGGAGAAGGCAGGGAAATGGCCACTGTTAGAGGAGACCAGGAAAGGGCAGGGAAATGCATCATCCACCAGGGGTGTGAGTGGCAGCGCCTGGGTTTCAGGCGGCTCAGAGGCAAGTGTTTTAAACAACACATCAGAGAGACCACGCTCAGGAGATAAGGAAGCAGGTCCTTCGGTGAGACAGTAGCCAGACGACCATGCGCGCAGTCGTGGAAGAGCATGCTACATACACACTGTGAAAGGACCTGCCTTTGGTGAGGATTCTGCTTAATTCTCTGAATGCCCCAATCTCCCTTTCATTCCAAGGGAAGAATTCCCAATGTGACAAACTATTCTCATGCAAATGACGTGGTACAACACAAACATACACACACACACACACACACACAGGCCCACCAGTGATTCTCCACTCAGCAGCCTGCAGGCTGGTGTGCACAGGGCAGTGACCTTCAACAGCCAGCCAGATTAAGCTAGAAACAGAAACCTCATTTTTATTAATTGCTGTGGATTTGTAGGACTGGTTTCTTTCTGCCAGTCACAGCTGCTGGCTGATGCAACACACCAAGGTCGTATTTATTAAGCACAGGGTGACTGGCTGTGTTATTTACCCTGAACATCCACACCAACACATCACCTGAGAATTCTTCCAAAAACACTTTCTACAGAATGAACAGTAGCGGAGGCTCATGATAAAAGAGATAAGAGTCAAAGGTTAAAACCGGAAAGCCTGCATTACCAGAGAATCAATTGTCCTTGCCTTAAGGTCACCCACCAAGGATGAACGCCAACTTGGTCAATTGTGGGCATTGGTTAAAGTGTCCGGATCCTTGCTTTGAACAAAGCTAAGGTGACCGACCTTTCGTGGTTTGACTGAGTATTGCCCTCTTACAAAAAAGAAAATTCCATATGCAAAGTGAGAGACAGATGAGTAGGGTGGGCTAGTCCCCATCTCCGGGAACAAGACACAAATGCCGACAGAGGTGCCTTGGGCTGGTCAATCTTTCCCATGTCCCCCGCCTTGTCCATCCCCCCACTCTCCCTGAGCTAAGAGCAGCACTGTGGCCCCAACCATGGGCTTTCCCATGGTGTTTGCAGAACTTCTGTTCGGCTCAAAGTACCACAGTTCGTTTTAACCTCCTTATTGTCACTTACCTTGTCCATCCCTCTGCCCATCCACTCTAGCAAAAGCTCAGTGTCTTCACAGCTTGGTTTCTCCTACTCTACACATCTGAACTAAGCCCAATTCTTTTGTTAATCACTAAGGGCTTAGTCTCATAAGGATGCCTTTAAGGAGCTGGGGGAAACTTTCAACACAGCTGGAGCAGGTACAACCTGCTCAGGCTGATTTCTATGGCTTGAGGGCATAGGGAACAATTCCTCCCCATTGAAGAAAGCCCTCATGTTCATGCCAGGCCACACAATTCCAGGAAATGAGAACCCCCTGAGTCTGTGGGTCTTTGCTTCATTCCGGGTGGACCCTACATGCTGAGGCCTCTGTGTTCATCCTCTGGCATGCCTGCTCCAGGTTAGGAGAATGTTTCCAAGGAATACTTCTTGCAGAAAATATCCTTCGCACAGAAGCACTGTCTGACCACCCCCAGTCCCATCAGCCCAGGGCTCCCTAGCATCTACCTCCTTCCATATCCCTCCACCCCTCACCACCCCCTCCGCCCTACCCAAAAGCTTCCTCTGCACACAGTCCTGGTGGTCAGGCTCCCCGAGAAGCATGTGTGTTCACTGCCATCTGAGACTATGCTCATCTGACCAGGTGGGAAACACCTGAGACCACCCCTCGCCTTCTTGTTTTCGGAGCATGTTGAAGTGTATTTTTCTGTTTCATAATTAAAAACAGTAAAAATATCAGGGTTCCCTTAGTCCCATAGTAAGAACCCCTCCTCCTAGGGAGTCTACAGCTGTTAAGGGGGAGACTGTAGACTCCCCCTTAGCAGCTGCATGCAGGTTCCAAAGGAAGCTTCAACACTGGGGAAGCTCGCTCTGCTCAGAGCTGCCCACACCATGAGCTCTACCTCATGAGGGGGAGGGGCACAGTACACATTTTAAGTCACAGGGTGGCATGCATTCCTAGGATTTGAGGAGGCTGGGGAATGCTTTTTACCCATAACTCCCTCCTTCCTGGAAACCTGGTATGGGTCCCTAGAGGAAGCCTCCTATCCCATCAGGACCCAAGACAAGTTACCTGGAGGAAAACAGGAGATGTGTTTTGCTATGAGGGATTGGGCCTGCTGAGGACTTTACCCCAACTCTACTTAATGGCTAATTAAGTCATTTTATTTCCCTCTCTGGTATAGTAAAACAAAACACTCCAGGCTAACCACAATGCTTTTCAAATATTTTTCATTCTTTAAAAAATTAAATATGTATCACTAGCATACACAAATTTTATAAATGTGAAATGTACTTTTCATAATTTATGGAATATATTAAACTGTGAGGGACCAAGAGACCCTCAGGCCAAAAGAACTGGTCAATCTTCCATACCCTTTTTGTATGTAAACAGTTTGGCTGCAGAGAGCACAGCCAGCTGAGGTGCAAGTTTTTGGAGCACCTTAACCACAAGATGCTCTATAGAGATAATAAGAGCAAAAACAACTCCTTCCTCTTTGACCTGGGACACCTGGGGGCTCGGTAGTTTTCCATTCCCCTCTACCCTTACCCCACCCTGCAAAAACTGCCTTATAAAAATAAAACCTTGCCTGCAATAAACGGAGCCTTGCCACATCTCAGACTGACTTTGTCTTTCTTTACGCGCTTGGTTCCCTTTTCCCTTTCCCCCCATTGTTTCTAGGTGATGCCTCCTCAAGACCCATAAACTACCTGGCCCGAGGAACGGTGGTCGCCGGACAGCACCGATTAAAAAGAGAAGGATCTGGATCGCCTTTTGGTAGAGACATTCTGCATCGCTCGTGCTGCATCTTGAGGTAAGTTCTGCTGTTCCATAAATAATGGGGAAGTTGGCTTCTGAGGAAGCCCTCTTTATAAGAGAGATAAAGAGCACATTACGGGAAAGGGGAATAAGAGTTAAGAAAAAGGACCTCTTGAAATTTTTCTGTTACACGGAGGAAAAATGTCCTTGGTTAATTTTAAATGGCCCGGACATTCACCCCCTGACATGGAATAAAGTAGGAAAGAGTATTAATGAACTCTTAAAAAATGGTGAGGAGGTCCCTGAATCATTTTTCAGTTTTTATGGTATAATTAGAGACATTCTTAAGGATTCTGAAAAGGAGGGAAAAATATCACATCTCCAGGCGCTTTTTGAAGACTTCATTGTTGAGGACCAGGACTCAAAAAGAGCCGCCCAAATTTTAGATGAAAAAATTCTTAAGGAGTCTAACTTTATTCAGAAAAGAAAAGACATAGGTACTTCACCTGTCCCCTCCCTCCTAGATGGAGAAATCCCTGATAAAAACTTACACCTGCCCCTGACTGAAAAAACTCCCGCAGAGGCCGTGTCATCTCCCTCCCTCTACCATATTCTTCATAAGGACAATAATGATGATTGGCTGGACCCTGCTGAGGAGGCCGATTTGGAGGAGGAGGCAGCTAAATATGAGAGAAAGAGATATGATCCGCCTATTGTAGCTGCCATAAGGACTCATGAGGGAAGAAATAATCCTCAGAGACTTAGATGGTCTCAGCCCCCTCCTTATGCGCCCCTCCATGATTCTCAGGCTCACCCATCAGCCCCTCTCTTTCCTATGATTTTGCCTCCTCAAACTCCTGGTGTTGACAGCCTGTTGGCCACTAAACAGTCCCTTACCAGCCAAATAACCCAGTTGAGAGGCATTATTTCCCTGCAAAAAGAACTTAAAGACCTGACTGCTCAGATTCAGACCTTACAGGTCGAGTTGTTGACACCCTTATCACTGCCCCCTGTACCAATAAAACTTCCCAATGAGTTCCCTCAGACCAGAGCTGCCAAAGTCCGTCCCTCTAAGGCTCGTCCTGCCCCTCCAACAGCCCCTGGCACCCAGGCAGAATCTTCCACCACAGATAATGAGGACAACGAGGGAGAGGAGGAATCTCAGTCCGGAGGGGAAGATACTACAACGAGTGGGTCTCACATTATCAAGACCCTTAAAATAAAACATTTAAAAGAGCTGCATTCCGCAGTTAAGAATTATGGCCCAGCAGCCCCATTTACACTTTCCATCCTTGAAGGGTTAGGACAAGGAGGAAACCTTATTCCTATCGAATGGACAAAGGTTGCCCAATCAGTGCTCTCTCGCAGCCAATATTTAACCTGGAAGGCCGAGCTGATGGAGAAACTTGAGGCCCAGGCAGATGTTAACAAACAAAATGCGGCAACAGCCTCATGGACCTTAGACAAATTGATAGGACGAGGAAAATATGCAGCAGAAAGTAAGCAGCAGACATTGCCCGTTGGGCTGCTTAATCAACTAACACAAGCCGCACTGGCCGCCTGGCGAGCCATTCCTCCGCCTAATTCAGTGGGCACCTCCCTCTCTAAAATCATTCAAGGCTCAAATGAGCCTTACGCCCAGTTTGTGGCCAGACTCCTGGAGGCCGCAGAGAGAATTTTGGGGGAAAATAGTACTGATGATATGATTATAAAACAACTTGCCTTTGAGAATGCGAATTCTGCCTGCAAGGCTGCCCTAAGGGGAAAAATGAAAGCCGTTGATCTTCATGGTATGATTAGACTTTGTAATGATGTTGATTCCTTTGAGCATAAACTTTTAAAGTCCATCAGCCTAGCCGTGGGCGCAGCACTCCACCCTATGGCTGCTAGACAAACTGCTCCCAAATCTTGTTTTAAATGTGGAAAACCTGGACATTTTGCCAGAAATTGCATTGAGGGGACTAATAACATAGATCCTTCGCAGGTACATAATGTACCTAAGCCACCCACGCCTGGGCTATGCCCACGCTGTAAAAGAGGACATCATTGGGTGAAGGAATGTCGCTCTAAGTATGATGCCTCCGGACAACCCCTCCCTGCGGTTCAGGGAAACCGGCAAGGGGCCCCACTACGGGGCCCCTACCCCACCTCGCAACAGATTCCTCCAATGCAGACCGGGTCCCACAACCTTGCCCAGTTCAAGCCTTTGCAGAGCGACAGCAGGGAGTGCAGGATTGGACCTCTGTTTCTCCTCCACCAGGATTGTAACACCAGAGGAAGGGACAGTCATTTTGGATACCAGGATCCATGGTCCCCCACCCCCAGGCATGTTCTTTTTAATCATAGGACGGGCCTCAAGTTCCCTACAGGGACTTTCAATAACACCCACCCTAGTAGATAATGATTATCAGGGTGAGATTAAAATCCTGGTGTCAGCCCCTGATGAACCCCTTATGATATCACAGGGACAAGTATAGCACAGGCCCTTCCCCTCCCCCTCTGCAGGAACTTTCCTTCAACCACACAGACCCGAGGTCAATCTCAACCAGGATCTTCAGATGTGTATTGGGTCCAAAAATTAACAGAAACTAGACCCACTCTACAACTATGGCTTGATGAGAAACCTTTCCTTGGTCTGCTGGATACCGGGGCAGATGCTACCGTCTTATCCAAAGCCCACTGGCCTCAGAATTGGCCCTTACAAACTACAGCCACTCACCTACAGGGTATAGGACAAAGTCAAAACACTCTCCAGAGCTCCAAAGTCTTACAATGGAGAGATAAGGAGGGCAATACAGGAACTGTCACACCCTTTGTTGTGGAAGGCCTACCCATTAATTTATAGGGAAGAGATATACTGACCCAGATGGGGGTCATCATGATGAGTCCTAATGAAGCTGTCACCAAAATGATGCTAAAAACAGAGTATCTACCAGGAAAAGGACTAGGAAAGGAGGAACAGGGAATAAAACAACCCATCACCCCTAAACAAAAGATGGATAGATGAGGCCTCGGGGAGGACCAGGAACCTGCTGCCTCTATTCATTCTTTTTCCTGAGGGCCACCGCTCCTCCTGCACTCCATGCTGAAAAAATAACCTGGAAATCCGATGACCCAGTATGGATAGATCAGTGGCCCCTATCTCAAGAAAAGGTTCAGGCAGCCCTACTGTTGGTGCAGGAACAGCTAGATCAAGGACACCTTGAACCATCCACCTCCCCATGGAACACTCCCATATTTGTGATTAAAAAGAAATCAGGAAAATGGAGGCTCCTCCAGGATCTCAGGGAAGTTAATAAAACCATGGTACCTATGGGAGTCCTGCAACCGGGGATGCCCACGCCCGTGGCCATTCCTCGGGGCTATGTTAAAATTACTATTGATATTAAAGATTGCTTCTTTTCTATCCCGCTCCATCACAATGATTGCAAGAGATTCGCCTTTTCCATTCCTATTATTAATCAAATAGGACCAAATCCTAGATACCAATGGAGAGTCCTACGCCAAGGTATGATCAATTCACCTACCCTTTGCCAGAAATATGTTGCCCAAACCATTGATCCTTTTAGATTAAGGAATCCTGAAGCATACATAATTCATTATATGGATGATGTCCTAATAGCCACCAAGAGCCCTAAAGAATCTCACGCCCTAGCAGTAATGATGGTACACACATTACAGGAGCGAGGGTTTAATATTGCTCCAGAAAAGATTCAGACACAATTTCCCTTTTTATTCCTGGGTTTTGAGCTTCACCCTGATCTTTTATATACCCAAAAGCTTCAGATTCTTTAAAAACATTAAATAATTTCCAAAAATTGCTGGGTGATAGTCAATGGCTGCGACCATATTTACAACTTACAAAAGGCGATATTCGCCCTCTTGAAGATATTCTTGCGGGTGATGCGGACCCATTATCCCCTCGAACACTCACCCCTGAAGCACTTTCAGTGCTTAGAAAGGTGGAGAATGCCATTATGAACCAACATGTTGGATACTTTTGTCCTGATTGGCCTTTACAATTAATTATTTTCTCCACTGAATTTTCCCCGACTGGCCTGCTCTGGCAAAGCTCTGTCCCACTTCTCTGGAATCATCTTCCCATTGCCAAATGAAAGGTGCTCCCTATCTATCCTCTTTTGGTCTGCCAATTGATAATGCTGGGTTTAAAGACTGCAACTAAATATTTTGGCAAGGAACCTGATAAAGTTGTGCAACCCTATGATAAAGCTAATTTAGAATGGCTGGCTCTCCATCACCCTTAATGGGCAGTTCTTATCTGTTCATACAAGGGAGATTTTGATACCCAATTACCTAGTGATAAGCTGATTCAATTCTTCTCTTATATTCCCTTTGTTTTTCTTAAAAATACCAAACAAGAGCCCATTCCAGATGCATTAACAATTTTTATTGATGGATTCAAAAATGGAAAGGCTACATATGTTCTTGATGGTACAACAGTTACCCTTGATACCCCTTTTCTTTCAGCACAACTAGTGGAACTGTATGCGGCCCTCACTGTATTACAAAAGTTTGGGCATTGCCCTGTTAATATTTATTAACAAATCTTGCGCCAAAAATT